GGCATTAAATTGCTTACACTATTTCGTTAATAAGAGAAAAAAGTCAGTGGCGTACATGCATATTACACACATGCATTTTTTATAAAAATATTCCAGTAATAACCCATATGCACGTGCCTGGTGAATATGTAGACACTTTTTTAGCATTAAAATATGTCGCATTTATAGTAATTTTTACCCTCAAAATCTCATTCGAAACGCTAAAAGTACTTGGAAGAAAATTATAATAAATCGAAAAAATATTAAGACTAACATCACCCTGTAGCTACGAAACAAAGTAGAATCAGACTTATGTTGATATGAAAAGCAAATCTTATTTTTACGTGAGGAATCTCCACACGAGAGGTGGCACATGTTTTTGGATTCATTTCTGGATTTAAAACGATCTCTGCTAGAGTAAATGCTAACAAAAAATAATATGGCATTCAATGACAGTGACATTACAAAAATAATAACTACTATTTCATAGGTATGTTGAGATTGAGGACCATAAGCGAAAACATGCTTGTAATGCTAAGAAGATTGCTGTAAATCGTTACTGTCTCTTCAACAACGAATATTTTTAATAAAAATAAAGACATATGAATCAAATTATAGAGAAAATCAAATTATCGAGAAAAGATGCATCTTAATGAAAAGTAGTTTTAAAGATTAGTAGTTTACTGATACATTTAAAAAACAGAATAAACACAGTTCACCTTTATATTTGTCACAATTTTTTTTCATAATTAATTTGTAAAAGTAGTTTCAATTTAATTATTTTTTTTCTTAAAAATTTTGTTGTGTCAATCCTTCTTGAGTTTTCCGTCAGTAGAAATATCCTATAATTGAACAAAAAACGGCGTCTAGTTGGCTTGAACATTACGATCCATAAAATTACCTATATAATTTTATAAATAAAATGATATCGATCTTCATTTCCAAGTCATCTTTGACCCAGTATTTTTGTTGATATAGTAGTTACTAGATTTAGTAACCTCAAAAACTCAAAGAATATTTTAACCATACCATCAGTAGGTATAACAGTCGATTCAATGAGAGCAGGAACGATTTCTACACGACGACGACTTTCAAAAATGGCAGGAAATACAATTTAATTTTGAATTAAAATAGCTATCTGACAAGAACAGTAACTGTCATTCTCTCATATACCGTGTGGTGTCTCGGAACAAGGGACATAGGAAATCTCATGTAAATTTTGGAAAGGTTAAATATTATCTCTTCAGATGATTTTATGCAAAAGTTGTATTAGACTTTTTGAAGAGGCGTTAAAGTTGTTCTTTCGTCTAGAATTTCGTATTGTTTGGGATAGGCACTTAAATGTTTTTTTTACAAAAATATTAAAGGAGAAAGTTAGTTAATTAAAATATCAGCAAAAATATGATATTGTCATTGTCAAATTCGATGTCATATTTTGATTACCAAACTAAAACAATTTATGTGGTTTGGAGGCTGGCTATTTTTTTCTAAATTGGAATTATATAATCTACAAAATAATTATTTGAGTTGAGAATAGTATTCGGCGGTGTATGATTTTTTCACTATTCATTACTCAACCGCTATTCACATCAGCGAACGAAAGATAAGAGACCTGGCGGGCCGAGTGGAGACGCTAGAACTATTTTGGGGGGGGGAGGACAAGCAATTTTCCCAGCTTCCTACTTTTTTTTAGAGGCTATAATACATGTAATAATGTATCGTGATAGGAATAAAAACCCTTGTTTTAAAAAAATTGTTTTATTAATTTAAAATTTAAATTTAACATTATTGAACATTATAACATGCATAAATAATTATTGTTATGACAACTCTAAAATTAACTAGCGTGTACCAGCGACTTCGTTTGCGTCGAATTAATCATTTGTAATGGTGATGATAAAGCAAAGCAAGAATTTCCATTAACATACAAACTAGATAAAATTTTCTCACATTTATGTCAGCATGAGAAAAAACAATATAGCGATATTATTATATAACTTGGTAATATTTGAGAGGTAGTTTCATCTCGTTGGAATTTGACTTTCGAAAAATCCGTTTGCCATAAATAAGCTTTTCACGTCAAGCAGTTTAAGCAGAATCGTGATTACTCAATGGTCATTATCGTGGTTAAGAAATTACCCAACTTTTTGGAACACCCTGTATGATTTTTTAAAAAATTTCAAAATATGTAGAAAATCAAATAAATTATGCTTGTCCAAGCGTTTTCCCGAAAGACTAACCGTTTTTTAAATAACAAATATTGTAATATTTGAGGGGCGTTTTCACCCTCTTGGAATTTGAGATTCGAGAAACCCCTACTTATCGAACCCCTACACCCCACAGTCAATCCGTTTGCCAAAAATCAGCTTTAAACGTCAAGCAGTTTAAGCAGAATCGTGATTACTCAATGGTCATATTTTATGAAACACCCTGTATAAATTTATAAAAAATCTTAAAATATGTAAAACAACAAAATAAAATATACATGTTTAAGAGTTTTTCCGAAAAACTCACCGGTTTTTAAATAAAAAATATTTTAATATTTGAGGGATAGTTTCACCCCCTTAGAATTCGAGTTTCGGAAAATCCCTTCTTATCGAACCTCTACACCCTAAAGTCAATCTGTTTTCCAAAAATCAGCTTTTTACGTCAAGCGCTTTAAGCAGGATCGTGATTAATCAATGACCAGATTTTTCAAAACTCCCTGTATACATTTTTAAAAAATCTTAAAATATGTACAAAAACAAAATAAAATATACGTGTTTAAGCGTTTTTTCGGAAACTTGACCGTTTTTTAAATAAAAAATATTGTAATATTTGAGGGGTGGTTTCACCCTCTTGGAACTGGAATTTCGAAAAATCCCTTCTTATCGAACCTCTACACCATAGAATCAACTTGTATGCCAAAATTGAGCTTCTTACGTTGAGTGGTTTGAGCAGGATCGTGATTAATCAGTATATCAGTCACTTAAGGATTTTATACATATATTAGTATTAGAGGGTTAGTATAGACTAGTCGTCTGGTCTTCAAAGTGGCCCAAGTTGTTATTATTTTTTGTAAATCTAAGTTGATGGCAATATCCGCTTCACATTAGTGCAGCGGCAATTTTTTTTTCTTATTTTTGACAAATTAGGGATTTAGATGTCGCGTTGTCATGACTAATTTCCCAACTCAATTATACATTGCCCCCCCCCCCCATCACCCCCCATAGCTTCACCACTGGGCGGGCCAATTAATGTTGTGATATAGCTGAATTAACCTTTCCTTCGAAAGGATCCGACGAATATTCTATAATTATAAGAGAATGTGCAGGACAACCATACACTGAAATTCAGATTTCCAGATCTTCAAGGAGAACTTCTTCTAAAGCCCGTCCAGTTTCTTTGTAAGTGTCCGAAGAATGGTCCGAAGAAATGTGGTCCTTTGCTATTGCCTCCCCCAGCAGACGGGAATATTTTTATTTTCTTCAACACGAAGAAGAATATTCAAATCATTGTTTTCCTCCTGTTCATTATTTTCATCTTTACACTTACATGTGTTTAATACCGTGCCTTTGTTTCAATGCCTTTTCTTCATCACTGTAATCACAAAACTTCAGTCTATTTCCGTATTGTAACAAAATTTTAAAATATGTCTTTATTTTCTAGAAAATTTAGTCCAAACATAAGAAATATTTGGTTGATGTTTGACCTTCAAAATCTTAAAAATAAAGAAGTTGTCTAAAAATGTGCTACAATACGGATATAGTATAATCCTTTATCTTTAATTTCCTTCTTCATTTGTGTAAAAATACTTAGCCAGTTTTATATAAAACGTTAAATGCCGAACGCCTATTTTGCTACTTTTTCGGATTAGTGAAATGGACTCTTAAGAAGGACGGTTTTTATCAGTGTCTACTCACTTCAATCTCACACAAACAATAATTACTGTTAGTTTTGAGTAGTGAGTGATTTTAAAATTTTGTATTTTTATGTTAAATAAAAATATATTGCTGTAGTTTTTACAATGATTGACTTAAAAAATTACAAGCAATTTATAATTGATTTCATAGAACTGTACAGAACAAGGATAGAAGCCATCCGTGCCTGTGGAAGGTTAAATTTATGGAGTATTCTGAGAGAGATAAAAAAATAAAGCTTACGAAGATATGATAAAAAAAGTTACAAGAAGTAGATAACTCGGCAACAAGAGATTCACTCAAAAAGAAAATTGACTCTTTACGTGGCTGCTTCCGTAAGGAATTGAAAAAAGTCATGCAATCTAAGAAATGGTTCCGGTACTGAAGACATCTACAAGCCACACTTGTTTGTTGAATTCATTCAAAAGATTAACATGTGAAAATTGTCTTCGATTACCATTCTTTAGCCCATTTGGAACATTGTTTTTTAGAATATTTTATTTTAATAGCTTAATAATTTTACTTTAATAACTGAATCATTGCTGAATCATTCACTGCTAACGTCGTCGTAAAATCCATTACCAATGATTTTGCCCGCAATTTCAAACAAACTGAAAACGAAGTCGTTGTTTGTGTTTAACCGTACTGTTTTACTCATGCGGGCAAAATTGCTAAAAAAGAACTACGTCTGTGGGGGCCTTTAAAATTTACACGGGATGAGATTTCCCGTCTTCCGATGCGCCACATGGTATATGTTTTTTTATTTAAGTTTTGGATCACAAAACGAATTACAAATTTTTGTGTTGAATATCTAGGTACTATCCAAACTAACGCTATTAAAAAAAAAACCGAAAATAAGCGCAAATTAGCACGTTCCCGTTCGATTAGCCATCGCATCGGTCCCACACCAACGCACCGAAATCCACCACGCCGATTTCACCAAAGAAGAAACTGGCAATTAACTTAAACCGTGGAAAACAAAACGGTCCGCCGGCCAATAGCCACGCCGAGGCGGACTTAAGCTGGTTCTCTCAACGTCCATTGGTCCCCAACACACGACTCAGCCACAAACAGAGACCTCTCCGTCTTTGTCCGTCTCGCGAGATGTCGAGATATCGTACCGTAGTACTCACATACACACAGACAGCGAACACAGAGCTAAAAGCGCTCCTTTCATTCCCGATTGAATCGCGCCCGACGTAGCAGCATCGTAGTAGTCCAGGAAACAAGCCTTCAATTGTTTCGGGCGCCTGGTCGATCAACAGGTGACATTTGTCGGTCTGTTCATTCATAAAACGTGTTTGTTGAGTGGCATCACAATGTTATCGCGAGCGGTTGTTTCGTCTCCTGCGGTATCGTCGGTCGAGTCGTCGTCGCAGGATAATTCATCCGGGAGTCCGGTGGTGGTTCCTGAGGGAGCTGCAGGAGCACCGGTGGTGGTTATAGGACAGCAGCAACAGTTGGACAAGAGCGAGATAAACGACGCGGTGACCAAGGTGTTGCAAGGGTACGATTGGACGCTGGTGCCTATAGCTTCAAAGTAAGTAAATTAAATCTCTATTTAAAAAATTATCTCAATTTTAGGAGAATGAGAAGAAAAATACTAGAATTGGTATTAACCATCAAATTTCGATCAAGTCCTGGTAATTTTGTTCTTATTCTCCCGTGACCGGGTACACATGCCAAGACTGGGTATCTACGGTTGAAACAATTTGACTTCTATTGTTCGTGGTTTTGTTATACCGTGTGGTGCATCGGAACGCGGGACATAGGAAATCCCATGTAAATTTTGAAAAGGTTAAATATTATCTCCTCAGATTATTTTATGCAAAAATTGTATTACCTATACTTTTTTGAGAAGGCGTTAAAGTTGTACTGTCGTTTAGAATTTTGTTCTATTTGGAATAGGCATCTAAAAGTTATTCGCAAAAATCTACCTTCACATTACTTAAAATTTATAATACGGCCCAGAGAAAGCGACAATTAAAATACCAGCAAAAATGTGATTTTGTTATTGTCAAATTCGATGTCACATTTTTTTTTGTTTACAAGAAGTCATGTGATTGAAAAGGGTCGTTATTTTTTTCTGAATTAGAATGATCATCTACAAAAAAATTAGTTGAACTGAGTATTGTATTCGCTGTGTATGACTTGGCCTCTCTCATACCACATAATATATCCACAACAATTTATTATTTTAGAACAAGCAAAAATTTTTATGAAGACAATCCGCGGACATACTGTAGATATAAATATGTTATTCATCGGCAGTGCCGTTTTCATGTAGAGACCCGACGGGCCCCGACCAGGGGATTAAGGGCCTCAGCTCCAAAAAGGCCTCAAAAACGATAACATCAATTTTTTTAAAGCTTATAATAATACATTTAAATTGAAAAACGAATGCAATTTGACGTAATAAAACAATCCCCGAGCGAATGTTTGCATATATTTAATGGCAATATATGATGACAAAGTGATCGGAATACCGGTTCCACATACCTATAAGCCGCGTTACTTTCGCGACCGTTCCAGGTAAATCGCGGTATACTCCTATATAGGTCCAAGAATAAATAATAATTATTCGAATATAAAAAATAATAATTATTCGATATTCTAAACAAAGAAAATTACCGCTTGATTTAATTTCGTAAATAGAAAAATGCCATTGACAATTACTGGGGCCAATAATTGATAATTAAGTAAATATCTGTTTCCATTTATACTGTGTTTAGTTTGCGTATACTTATGGTTTGCATACTCTAACTACAAATTGCTTTATAACTACTGAACCCATATTGGCCTGTTTGCCAGTTGAATAAAAAATTACTTATTAAGATTTGGAGGCCCCCTAGAAGAAGGGGCCCGGGGCGGACCGCCCCTTCCCCCCCCCCCCCAGTCTACCCCTGAGTATATCATAATCACTCGATTAATACACATGTTAATGTAATTTAAGAGCGCCTTTCTATCTTCGAAAGATCTATACCATTTTAGTTCCTGAATTGGTATTTTGAGGAGTATACAATATTTAAAACAAAAACCAATTTGATTCAATCAATTGAAATGCATGTGTTTAGTAATACAAATTTTAATATTGAAACATATTTCATTCAACGTTGATTCTCATTGTAAGATTACAATTATTGAACCATTAATCAGTTTTCAGTATTTTATTTATTTGAGTATTTATCGAAAAGTAAGTAAGTCGTAAGGAAAATTCTAATTAGTTTTTGACAAGTAAAAACAATTTAAAAAAAATGAAAAAAAAACACAGCAAGAACATTAAGTAAACAAGTAAGACAAATGGGTAAAATCTACAGTATTATTTATGACAAAGCTGCTAAATGAAAATGATTTGAAAATAAACTAAAACGAAATATTTCAATAATTAAACATAAATCAACTAGGTACTAATATTTACCGTTTCAAGCGCACACACAAAAATGATTTCAACCGTACCCAAACCCTCTTCGGGCAAAAGAGAGTTTATGTACCTAATTGTAGTAATAATAACACATTAAAACTATCTTTAATTTTACCTGAAATTACATATACCGGGTGGTGCATTGTCATTCGAAACATAGGAAATCACATGCAAATATTGAACTGTCTATACGGGGTAGCCCATCGAAAACGTTCGGCAAGGCATAACGGCCAGAGTATTTTTTTTTCAAAAAATCCAAAAACGCGTCAATTTTGTTTGTGAGGGGGACAACTTTTGCCCCAAAAATGATTGCAAAATCTTCAACCCCCTGAGCGGGGGTGTCATCCCCCAATTTTTTTCAAATGGGAAGGGGGATCAAGTGGTACCGCAATGAAAAGGGCTTTCTATTATCTATACTTTCCCGCTTTGTTTTTGAAAATCGGCCAGTCATTGAGAAAATATGAAGGATTGAAATTTGAAAAGTTTATTTAAAAATTTATCAGAGTAAATGATAAAGATAAATTTCTTCGACCAATTTGCTGTTTTTTCTTATTATTTCTAGATGTTTTCGCATTTTTTTACTTGCCCCAAGGTTGAACGATCAGGTGCGGTAGTTGCGAGAAAGCTGTTCTGTGACTTGTGCGTTGAAGTTCTTCTCAATATCGTTAAATTTTTAACAATTATGGTGTTCTCACTTGCAGAAAAAGTGGAAATAATCGAACTTTATTTTAAAAATAAACTTTATTTTACTTTATTTTAAAACGTCTTCGTTGAGTTCTTGTACCAACTGCATTTTGTACGGGTGGAACTTTTTTTAATATCTTTTGAACGCTTGTACGATTCACATCGGTTTCATTGGCTAATTTTCTTGTACTCAGCGTACTTGGCAACTTGGCCTAATACGAATACCTCCATAGCTTCATTTACTACAGGATTTTCCCTCTGCCTCTTTTTATTCATAACGGAACCAGTTTCGCGAAATTTTGCTACTAACTCGCGAACAATTTTGCCATAAAGGTGTTTGTTAGGATGAATATCTGCGCAACCCGATTGCCACATTCATTATTTTTAAAATAAAGTTCGATCATTTCCACTTCTTCTGCAAGTGGGTACACCATAATTGTTAAAAAGTTTAACGGTATTGAGAAGAACTTCAACGCACAAGTCACAGAACAGCTATCTAGCAACTACCGCACCTGATCGTTCAACCTTGTGGCAAGTGAAAAAATGCGCAAACATCTAGAAATAATACCAAAAAACAGCAAATTGGAATTTATCCTCATCATTTACTCTGATAAATATTTAAATAAACTTTTCAAATTTCAATCCTTCATATTTTCTCAATGACTCGACCGATTTTCAAAAACGAAACGGGAAAGTATAGATAACAGAAAGCACTTTTCATTGCGGTACCACTTGACCCCCCTTCCCATTTGAAAAAAATTGGGGGATGACACCCCCGCTCAGAGGGTTGAAGATTTTGCAATCATTTTGGGGCAAAAGTTGTCCCCCTCACAAAAAAAATTGACGTGTTTTTGAATTTTCTGAAAAAAAAAATACCCTGGCCGTTATGCTTTGCGGAACGTTTTCGATGGGCCACCCTGTATATTGGGTCCCCTGTTAATTTTACAGTGAAGTTGTGAAATGTTGACATTTGACTGATTTTGCATTGTTACCTATTCAGTTTCAATTTAAAAATAGTTGCAGTTTTCCTTAAATTACTTAAATTCGGCTTGTTCAAAATTGTTCAAATTTGGCATGTGCATTCAGAATAGGTAGACCTTTAAAAACCTATTTACGAATTAGCTGTAAAATTAATAGAGTAGCCAATATTTGGACAGTTCAAAATTTGCACGGACTTTCCTATATTTTCAAAGGCACCACCCGGTATACGGTCAATACTTTACAGTAACTTCACTTAGTCATTTAACTAGATCATATATGATAATAACTTAAATCTGACAAAAAAAAATACAATATGGTTAGGTTAATTTGGCAACAGCAAAAAAACAGCACAGGGTGAGGAGATTTAAACACGAGATTTTTTATTTGCGGCTGCTCTAAATAATCAATTCGATGTCATTTCATACCGACTACGTCCTCCTTGGATTTTTCCTTCCATAATATTCTGCAGTAATTGGTATTAGGATTTCTTTAAGCATGTATAGCAAATTTATTAAGCAAAATATTCTATTTTTTTCTTTTTAAGGCTTTCGTATATTTCTTTCTTATATTACTTTTTATTTTATCTTTCTTCAACTCTGTCGACCCAAGAAATTCGTAACATGCGACGATAACACCACCTTTCGAAAGCCATCACATCAGGTATCAGGCCATCAGTTTGTTAATTTCGGTTGTTTTAAGGGTCCACGTTTCGGTACTTGTCGGTACAATACAATAAGGTCGAAAACACGAAGCATCGGAAGTTCTTAAATCTAAGTACAGCAAAGAGATTTCTTTAGTGTTAAAGAAGAATTTTTGGAATGTAAGAAATCGGAGCGTTGTCATAAATCATATCTCTAGCAAAAAAAAAAGTTATTGAGATGAATCAAAAACAAACTATCGATGAAAGATGCACCATGTTGACAAATTACTATGCAAATATCTTACTTTCTTAAACCACCCTACAGGGTATTTGAAACTTTCGCCAAAATAGGAACATTTTGTTTTCCTTCGTATAATATACACACGGGATCTTTAAATTTTAATTTAAAAGGAGGCTAAAAAGTCCGAAATGATTATGGTATCAGTGTGAAGATAAATTTATTGGCATTATTTTTTATTACTTTAAGGCTTATATTCTTCGGCTAGGTGGGTTTATACCGGGGTAAATCAAAACCTTGTTTTCTGCAATAAATTCAAAACACCCTGTGGAAAAAATGAGACGGGCATTTTGGATAAAAAACACCTGTAATCTTAGATGTATTCCTAACATTTCATTTTTTGAATTATCCCATTATCTCTATTCTTTTATCACAGTTTATAGAATATATAATATATTTTATATTCTTTAAACTGTGTTTATGAGCTACAAATTTTTAAGTACAGTATTGATTTCAGAGATTTTTTTATTGACAAAAACAATAATAATTTTATAATAATTTGAATAGCATGTATGT